TAGTGCGAGGACAGTTTTGAAGTATGTTTAATTTTATTATTAGGTTACTCTCTTTTATTAATTCAGAGCTTGATTTGCTTTATCTATATATTTATTAACGTGCTGCTCTTTTTTGCACTCTTTTGTCTAATCTCAAGTGGAATGCTTTGTTTGACAGGTATCTTACAGATGGAATGCTCCTAAGAGAAGCAATGACTGATCCACTTCTGGAACGATACAAAGTTATTATTCTTGATGAGGCACATGAAAGGACTTTGGCTACAGATGTGCTATTTGGCCTTCTGAAGGAAGTGCTTAAAAATAGAAAGGACTTGAAGTTGGTCGTTATGAGTGCAACTCTTGAAGCCGAAAAATTCCAGAACTATTTTTATGGTGCCCCTCTTATGAAAGTTCCTGGAAGGCTACATCCTGTGGAAATTTTCTATACTCAGGAACCTGAAAGGGATTACCTAGAGGCTGGTATTAGGACGGTGGTACAGATACACATGTGTGAACCTTCTGGAGATATACTTGTATTTCTTACTGGAGAGGAAGAGATAGAAGATGCATGCCGCAAAATATCAAAAGAAGTTTCAAATTTGGGAGACCAGGTGGGCCCTGTGAAAGTGGTACCCCTGTATTCTACTCTTCCTCCAGCTATGCAGCAGAAGATTTTCGAGCCAGCTCCACCTCCACTGAAGGAAGGTGGGCCTCCTGGAAGGAAGATTGTAGTATCAACAAACATAGCAGAAACTTCCTTAACAATTGATGGTATTGTCTATGTTATTGACCCTGGTTTTGCTAAGCAGAAGGTTTATAACCCACGAATTCGTGTGGAGTCTCTATTAGTGTCTCCAATATCAAAAGCCAGTGCACATCAGAGATCGGGGCGTGCCGGAAGAACTCAACCCGGGAAATGCTTCAGACTTTATACTGAAAGAAGTTTCAATAATGATCTTCAGCCGCAGACCTATCCTGAGATTTTGAGATCAAATCTTGCTAACACAGTTCTTACTTTGAAGAAACTGGGAATAGATGATTTGGTGCATTTTGATTTCATGGACCCTCCTGCCCCTGAGACCTTAATGCGTGCATTGGAAGTTTTGAATTACTTAGGTGCGCTGGATGACGATGGTAACTTAACAAAACTGGGTGAGATCATGAGTGAATTTCCCTTGGACCCACAGATGTCAAAGATGCTCGTTGTCAGTCCTGAATTCAACTGTTCAAATGAGATTTTGTCAATTTCAGCCATGCTTTCAGGTATTATTCTTTTATTCTGTTGCTTTTGTGTCAGTCCAGTGTCCCACCGTAATGTTAAGGAAAGGAGTTTTGCTGGGCTCCATTCTGAAATGGATTCCCTGCAATTGTGCATGTGCACGGGGATAATCTTGTGAATATGTTGGGGGATGTTTAACTGCTTACATGTGTGCTTAGTTTGCACATGAATGAGGTCAGTGGAGTGTGTCCTGTTAGGTTGTCATCAGCAACTGTCTTGTCTGGGTTCCATGCCCCCGGTTGGCATGTACCATAGGATTCTAAGTAAGTGCTGATGCAGTTAGTTGCAGTTTCTCAGTATTCTCTCATGAAGCAAATGGTGTGGTCTCGCCTCTATGCATCTGCTGACCTACGTGGGCCTCCTCTGTGATAATCAATTTCTTTCTTTAGTACCCAATTGCTTTGTCCGGCCTAGGGAGGCACAAAAAGCTGCGGATGAAGCTAAAGCTAGGTTCGGGCACATCGATGGAGATCATCTAACGCTCTTGAATGTCTACCATGCATACAAGCAAAATAGTAAGTGCTGATTTCTGTTAGCTTTTCAAAAAAATAAAAATAAAAATCTTTTCCATTGATATGTTTTCTGATGTTTAGCTTATTAATTGTATATATGTGGTTTTTCAGATGAAGATCCCTCTTGGTGCTATGATAACTTTGTTAATCATAGAGCATTGAAATCAGCTGATAATGTTAGACAACAACTAGTGCGGATTATGAGCCGGTTTAATCTGAAGTTATGCAGCACAGACTTTAATATCCGTGAGTACTATGTCAACATAAGAAAGGCGATGCTAGCTGGATATTTCATGCAGGTAGCTCATCTGGAGCGTACAGGACACTACTTGACAGTGAAAGACAACCAGGTTTTTTAAGATGAGCTGCTATTTGTCTTTATCTTCTTATTCTTCTTCTGTCTTCATTTCTTGTTACCAAGTTGGCTGTAATATCGTGTTTTTATGTTTTCTAATGATTCTGTTCTGTTTGTGTAGGTGGTGCATTTGCATCCATCAAATTGCCTGGACCACAAGCCTGAATGGGTAATATATAATGAATTTGTTCTTACCAGTCGGAATTTTATTCGTACCGTGACAGACATACGTGGGGAATGGTAAGATTTTTTTTCTCTTTGTATGTGGTTTATTGATGTATGTTTGTACGGTCTGGCTGATAAAGTTATCAATGCTTGTTATGCGTGATGTTAATGGAAAGCCTGATGAAATTGGGAGCTTGTGTTCAATAAAATGGAAACTGAGTGATGTAAAACTTTTGAATATGGTGAAAGCTCACAGACAGATGCAATTTGTGATTCTGAATTACAATGTTAGATTTTTTTTTTTTTTTTTTTTGTAAATTACAATGTTAGATTTTAGTCGGTAGAAGAGTTGGTAGACATTTCGTCAAGTATGCACTGTTGCTCTTTTTTTTTTTTTTGGTTTAATGCTATATAGTTTTCCTAGTCCTAACTTCATGATCATGCAATTGTCATCTGACACAGGTTGGTTGATATAGCACCACACTACTATGATTTGTCAAATTTTCCACAATGTGAGGCGAAGCGTGTTCTTGAGAGACTTTACAAGAAGCGAGAGAATGAAAAGGATGAAGCCAGGAGCCGCAAATGAAGTAATAGCCATCCACACTATTTTTGCCATTTGGATTTGGATTGGATTGGATGTTTCGTCCCTTACAACTGAGATCGTGCTTTCTTCGCGGGAAGGTTACCTTAACCACCCTTTATTACTTCTGAAGGAAATGCTGATTGTCGGTAGTTTAGTTAAAAGTGGGGGAAGTTCCTTGTACCATTTAGAGTGTTGCATATATATACATATACATATTGTCCTCCATGTTTGTAATACCTTATTGTCCAAATTTGTTTCTGGATGCTAAATTTCTAGTTTGGTCAAAGGGATAATAAGTTCGACATTTTGACTGGTGGTCTGACATATACTATGCGAGGAGTATATTGTTATCCCATTTGTTAATATTTTATAATAAGTTTCCTTGTTTAGTTAAAACTGGGTTCACTTTTTCTGCCCTACTATAGTTAAGTTATTTGCAGTAAGTCCAATACGACATTGTTTTGGAGTAGAAATCATGGTGTTTTTATAATTTTAATTTATTTTAGGGTTATTATAGTCTTTATAATTATAATTTTTTAATCTTTCAATACTAAAACGACGTTGTTTTGTGAGTAAATGTAGATAACTTATCTGTAGTAATTACAGAAATATTTTTCTGTTTAATTAAACTACAAACTATCAGTCTATTTTCATGTCTACACTAATCAAATTCTATTTTGAAAATTTTAATTATTATTTTAAAGTATAAAAATTATGTACTATTATATTATTGCTAGCTTTATTTTAAGCTAAAAAAGTATTAGAATACTAGCTAATTGAAAATTAAGTTAAAATTGGTGAAGAATTTTATTCTTTTATAGGTGTCGATTAATTTGACACATGCTCGCAAACACAATTTCAAAATGAATTGATGATGTAAGGAAGATAGTAATCACTCTATAACTAACAATGCATTTTTTAAGAAAAGTTAGAAAACTATAATTTTGATGTAATAAAAAACGTCTATTTTATAAAACACTAAATGAATTTTCAAAGAAAAGAAGTATTCCTATAGGATAATTAATATTCTTAGACTTCGACGTTTTAATTCGTATAATGTTTCTATTAAAATATTATAGGCATCGTTTCGTATCCATATGTTATTTTATTTTTTATTTTTTATGAAATCAAATTATAATGTTTCATTAAAAACAATTACATTTTCCTCTTTGCAAAAGCTGTTATTCGAAAATATAATTTATTTTCAAGAATTAAAAAAAATTATACAACTTTGTTCCTTGAATTCAGTGTTATTTTATGCTTTTTACATAAAAATTTAGAAAAAAGTGTGTATCCTTTTAAAGAATGATTCTTTTAAAAGAGAAAAAGAGAAAGATCATAGGAAAAAGAGAGGAGAAAAAAAAACCCTCACTCTTAATTAAAAATACCCCTTTTTCATATTATTGTATGAAAAATATTACTCTTTTTTTTTTTTTTCATTTCAAAGCGTAGAGTGGAGTCTCATGTATTACTTAAATAAACCATATGACCCAATTATTTAGTAGACTATTAGTTTATCTCAATTATCTATTAACATTTTGCTCTTCTCGAACCATGTTTGCTTTACATGTTCTAGATGTATTTTTCTTGGTTAGTTAAGATTTTTTTTTTTTGTGTGATTAAAAATACCTTTTTTCTCATCTTATTTTATAAAAGTGAAGTTTTATCTATTAATTGAATAAAATATATGAGTAAACTATCTCGTAGACTGTATTAGTTTATGGGAAAACATTTTCTCATGTTACATAAGAATTCAATTCTCATGTTGTGACTCTTCGATTTGCGTACAAAATTTTTCTTTTCTTTTTCTTTTTTTAATAAATGTGGAACCCACCACTAGTTGAGTCACAACATGAGAATTGAATTCTCATGCAACATGAGAAAATCAAATCCCTTAGTTTATCTATAGTATTTAAAGGAAATTTTAAGAAAATAAAGAATGTCAATTGAAAATGAGTGGCAATAGTTGCCTCTCAAGTCCTTACTACGCCAACCATGAAATGAAATAGCACCAGATATAAGATTTTACCTTCAACCTTTTTTTCTTCCTGGGACAAGTCAACCAATGATGTTTTATCATAAACATAATATTGTGTCATAATATAACAGTAAATAAACCCAAAAACCAAAACCTGCAATAGTTCGCTCCTCCTCAATCCCGTGACTGCAAGTCCCTTAGGTCCTTCCCATCGACAGTGCAACCAGCGGAATTGATTAACCTCGGGCTCATGAATATGTTACAGCTGTGCTTCATGTTCTTGTTCTTGTTCTTCTTTCGGTGGCGTTCGGGTTCCTTCAGAGTATTTTTGAGCTCCTGAGTTAGAAAAGTTCATTTAAGACATTTTAACCATTAACCATTCTTTTCGTGGCAACATTTTTTTTCTCATGAATTGCACATAAATTTTATCACTTGGCTGAATTTACAGCAAGAGATTACTCAACCCAGCTAACTGCTTTCTGCTTTTTGACTTGTCTCTTCTTCATCATGTCCCTCAATTCATTTACACTGCTCCATATTCCTTTCTCACCTTGGATCTTTGAAAGCATTGAGTAAGAAACAGGATGATTGCTCTCCAGTTTGCGGATCCTCTCTGCAGCATACTCTCCAAGTTCTAAATTTGAATGCAGCCCACAAGCTGCAAGTAATGCACCCCACAACACAACGTCAGGCTCAAATGGCATACTCTTGATTAATACTTCTGCTGCTTCAAATTTCCCTGCTCTTCCATAAAGGTCCACCATGCAAGTATAGTGCTCCATCTCTGCTTGGATTCTATACTTGGCCTGCATAGCAGCGAAGTGTTTTTCACCTTCTTCAACAAGACCTGCATGTACACACGCTGATAACACATTTACAAATGTAACTTCATCAGGTGTAACACCAGCTTTTTCCATCCTATCAAACTCCCCCAATGCTCGGGTAGCTAGCCCATGTGTGGCATAACCGCCAATTATTGTATTCCATGATACCAAATTCTTACTCAGAATGGACTCAAAAACACGAAATGCTGTATCCACATCCCCACATTTTGCATACATATCCACAAGCGAGGTCAATGAGATAACATCGTCTGGTATGCCAGACTTGATAATACAGAGGTGCACCTGCATGCCCATCAGAAGAGAGGAACAACCAGCACATGCATCCAATACACTTGAAAATGTGAAATGATTTGGACGAGTTCCTGACTTAAACATCAAAAGAAAAAGCTTCAATGCATCCATAAATCTTCTATTTTGCACATACCCACTAATCATTACAGTCCAAGAGACCACATTCCTCTCACTCATTTTGTTAAAAATGGACCTTGCTTTATTAATTCGCTTGTTCCTGATATAACCATTCACCAAAGTAGTCCAGGAAATGATGTTTCTTTGGGGCATAAGATCAAACCTTGTTTGAGCATCAGCCATGTTTCCCACTTCCATATAACCAGAAACCAAAGCATTCCAAGAGGTAACATCTTTCATCAATATATCATTGAACACTCGACCTAAAGCCTCTTCCTCCCTTAAACTCGCATAAGCTCTGATCAACGAAGACCCAACAAACACGTTCAAGTTGAGTGCCAAATGCAGTGATCGAGCATGAACCTGCTTGACCAAAACATCCAACTCGGTACTTATAACTGCTCTGAGCAACATGGAGAAGGTATATTCATTGGGTGCTATACCAGCTCTTCCCATTTGCAAGAAACAATGGTACAGCCCGTAAGTGTTTCTGGTTCTCTGAAAACCAGAAAGCATGATATTCCAGGAAACGGCGTCTTTCAGGGGCATTTGATCGAACAGCTCGTGGGCAAGTTCGATTTGATGGCGTTGTACGTAAAAGGTCATCATCTGGTTCCAGGAAACGACACTGCGGGAGGTGGTGGGGTTTTCGTTTAATACTTCGCGAGCTTGTTCTATTTTGTTGTCGTCTATGTAACCATCAAGCATATAATTCAGTTTTGCCGCTGTAAGCGTACACATTTCGCGTGAACATGGCTTCCGCAATAACAATCTGTTCAGGGCACGCATCTCTTTCTTTCTCAACAATCTTTCATCATGTTCTCAGTGAATGAAGTGGGCGTCCTTCAATTTTTTAATTTCTCTAAAACTGTTTCAACCTCCTGAATATAGCACTTTCTTCTTCTTTTTCTTTTTGGCTGAAATAATGCTCATAAAAAATATTCTAGTTTGGATACGTAGATACCAATTCATTAATAGGAGCCAGTATAGAGAATAAAGTAAGAAATATTTGTATTAACATGAGTTACAGTTTCATGCATACTTACATAGTTAAATGATAACTTTATTTTTAAGAGTTGGATTCCAAAATAACGAGTAAACTAGCCATCAAAATTAGGTCGAATAACAACACAATTGGAAAATATATTTACATATACATTACTGTGAAAGGGTGAGAATTGAAACTAACGTGACGGCGAGTGGACGCTTCGGAAGGTGGAGCTGGATCTTCCTTCACCTAATACTTCTGCAACACTGCGATTTCACTGATTTTGTTTTTAACTGATTTTTTTGATGGAGACTGTAACTTGTGTTAGTTAGAGTGAATTATGAGTCGGTGACCAATGCTTGCTTAATTAATATTTTCATAACATTTAAGGTAATATATGTAGTTTTGTTTTAAGCACGAATGAAATGTTCGAGCTACGGTTATATTGACTATCAAATTAGGCTTCTTCTTTTTTTTAATTAAAATAATTGGTACTTACTTACCATTAGTTCTAATTAAAATAATATGTGGGGAATACCTTAAAAAAAAAAAAAAAAAAAAAAAAAACCTCGCAGTGTACCTCCTGCGGTATGCATATGGATTTACGAGGGTATTGCTATAGAATTTGCGTTGCGTTGCTTATTGTTCTAATGTACAATTTACAGTTAGGTACTACAATTCTGAAGCAGTGCAGCTGCTACCCAGTAACCACATCACTGGTCACAAGGACAACATAGGTGGGAATTTGGAACGGGAACAACTGCTATAAAGCTCTACTATTATACTAAACAGCTTCATCTGGCATGGAACATCAAATTTTATGCTTATCTCCAGTCAAACTTCGGTATAGTTCATCTATTTCAACCTGTCACAATGTCAACAATTTGTGAGAACTTGTAATATACATAAGTACTTAAACAGGACTACAAAAAGAGTAAGGAAGAGTGAAAAAAGTATATCAGATTACCTGATAATACTTGAGCATATTATTTCTCTTCTTCTTCATTGTTGCAGTTACCAAGTCTCTTTCCATGTCAAATGGACGCGGTTCTAATATGACCCCTTTGATATGTTCAAAGCCCTTCAGCTAGTACGTTGAAAGAGAAAAGTTAAAAAGTTAAAAAGCATTGAAGCACCTAAAACTGGATGTAGAATACAGTCGTAAAGAAATAATCACACAGAACGAATCAGTAGTTGAAGTTCATTTATAATATTATCTCAATATACATAGATGTTACCTTGTTTCTCTCAGCGGTCAGCTTGAGTTCGGATAGAACATATTTCTTCAATTGGTCAAGAGAACATAGATTGGAGAAAGGAGCCATGTGACCATTTGAATATGCCCACTTCTTGGTAATTTCTTCATTTGGAACTACTACAGCAACTAGCACTGACTTGAAGCTGTTCCCATAAACCCAGACCTTAAAGAAAAACACAAAAAACAATCACAAACCTATCAAGAATCTAAGGATTGAAAATTATACCCTGAATTTGTGCAGATGCTTACATCTTCTATTATTGGAGTGATTCCATAAACATTTTCCAAATGCTCAAGTGCAATATACTCTCCTTGAGAAAGTTTTATAAGATTCTTCTTCCTGTCAACAATCTTAATAACACCATTGGGATGCAGTTCTCCTATGTCCCCTGAGGATAGCAAGCAATTGAACAATCAGATCATATGTCACGAGTCCCACATTGGTTGTATGGGCAATTAATGTGGAGTTTATAAGGTCTTGGACACTCTCATCCTTTGAGTTAGCTTTTGGAGTGGTGATCTTACAATTGGTGCTTTCATTGAGAGTAAAGCCCATGAAAAGGGCTACCTATAAGCTGGATTAAAGTGTCACACCTCCCAAAGGGGTGTTGTACTGAATATTGATAGATGTGTGAAGTCTCCAATCGACAACTAATCAATCTGGGGTTTATAAGGTCTTGGGCACTCCCACCCTTTAAGCTAGCTTTTGGATGGTGACCTCAAGTTCCTCAATATCATATCATGTAAATAATTAAAACAAAATGTTCAGTTTGAAGCAGGAAATGACAGTTCAACCTGTATGAAACCATCCATCTGTTATTGCTTCCCTGGTTAACTCAGGATTTTTGTAGTACCTAGTAAAAATAGTTTTCCCTCTCACACATATCTCCCCACATGGAGGACTTCCAAGAGGATTATAGCCCATCTCTGGAACCTCCACCAGCTGCAGTTCATTGTATACAGATATAGGACCAACAGTACCAAGCATGCACATTTCATCAGGAAAAGCAAGAGTAGTAGGCCCACAAGTTTCAGTCAAACCTGGAATAACCATAGTGTCAGTGTTTTATGTGACCCACAGTTGCATTGCATTGTTTTATGTGGTAAGTCCTAGTAGTATTGTTTATCTTATTTATAAGCAGTATAACTAGAGAGTTAGCTTTTGGAGTGGTGATCTTACAATTGGTGCTTTCATTGAGAGTAAAGCCCATGAAAAGGGCTACCTATAAGCTGGATTAAAGTGTCACACCTCCCAAAGGGGTGTTGTACTGAATATTGATAGATGTGTGAAGTCTCCAATCGACAACTAATCAATCTGGGGTTTATAAGGTCTTGGGCACTCCCACCCTTTAAGCTAGCTTTTGGATGGTGACCTCAAGTTCCTCAATATCATATCATGTAAATAATTAAAACAAAATGTTCAGTTTGAAGCAGGAAATGACAGTTCAACCTGTATGAAACCATCCATCTGTTATTGCTTCCCTGGTTAACTCAGGATTTTTGTAGTACCTAGTAAAAATAGTTTTCCCTCTCACACATATCTCCCCACATGGAGGACTTCCAAGAGGATTATAGCCCATCTCTGGAACCTCCACCAGCTGCAGTTCATTGTATACAGATATAGGACCAACAGTACCAAGCATGCACATTTCATCAGGAAAAGCAAGAGTAGTAGGCCCACAAGTTTCAGTCAAACCTGGAATAACCATAGTGTCAGTGTTTTATGTGACCCACAGTTGCATTGCATTGTTTTATGTGGTAAGTCCTAGTAGTATTGTTTATCTTATTTATAAGCAGTATAACTAGAGAGTTCCTTACCATAGCCTTGACATACAAAGGCACAAGAAGTAACACGCAAGAATTCTTCCACCTCTGAGCTCAAGGGTGCACCTCCAGATATTATTAATCTAACACGCCCACCTAGCCGATCTTTGACCTGAGGAGAAGGGTGCAATTTTAGAGAAAATTTACACATAATTAAAAGAAGTCAAGTTTTTACAAAGATAAATAACAATAATTGGGAAATTAGCACTCTTGTAGAAGCAGCAGGGATCACAATATGGATACTAGTAGTTTTAAAATACAGGTAGAAAAGAGGAGGTACAACCTTTCTGAAGGCTAATAGATCTGCTAAAGGTGATGCTTTACTCTGTTTATATCCTTTGTTCATCCAAGCAAGTTTGCTGTATCAAAATATAGATGTCGATTAGCAAAATTACATCAACAGAAAATCCATAACCTCTCAACACACAAACAAAATTCCTCCCTTTACCAAAATTTATTCAAAATTATATAATCGTAGAATACCAACTTACTATTTGTAGAGCATGCCAAAAATTCTTCGCCTCACAGGGTTGAGTTCTTCCACTGCTTTCTCGATAGCTGAAACAGATGATCTTGAAAACTTTTTATCCTGAATTCAAATAAAAAATAAATTTTCTGCTGATTCGTGACCTTGCCTTCATGGACTTTTTCAAAAACTCTGGGGACCCCAGCAAACAGTGTTGGCTTCAATTCCATTAAGTCATCCCTCAACGCATTTATATCCTTCATTAAGCGATTCCAGAAATGCATAAGATTTATACTTAAATAAAATATTTCTTACGAAGAAATATTTAAGCAGGACATGCAAATTTAGGGTCCAGTCCTTCTAATCATATTTATATTATAAATAATTAAACCAATCCAAATCAGCAAAATATCCCTGCATGAACACACCCCATGATAGTAGCCAACAGATGCACCCTTATGGAAAAAGTACTCCTCAATTGTGCGATCAAGGCTATGAGCCAGCGGGAGAAAGGATAAATACACATCTTCTTCAGTCATCTATTCATTATAAGATACATATATATCAGAAAAGCTATAAAGGAAAGTATCAGAATCTAGTCCAAATATAAATAAATATTCTTGTATCACTCTGTGCAATTGAAGTAAAGGAAAAAAATGGTATCATAAATTTTTTCCAGAGGATCCAGCACCAGATTTACCTTTTCTTCAAATTGTTCCAAGAAAAGATCTATTCCTCTTACGAAAGTAGTTATGTTTTCATGCGTCAAAACAACACCCTTAGGGTCTCCACTGGTTCCACTCGTGTACATTATTGTGCATATATTATAAGCCTGAGGTGGTAAAATGTTTGATGGGTTTTCTTTTCCCTGTAAGATAATAAGCTGTTCAGATTGACCTGAATAGAGAGATAAGCATGAGTAATTCAGAGTAGTTGGGCTATAGAGAACATTATTAATTAAGTTGCATAAGATTAACAAGTTACCAATACTCATGTCTTTAAACTTATGATAAAATCTTAAATTTTTAGAAAGGTTTCTGAAAATGTTAGGACTATAGCACCGTTATAAGAGGATAAATTATGCCTTTTTTTGTTTGTTTGTTGAGAAAGTGCATTATAATTCCTTTAATTCAAGCAAATTTCAATAACCGTAAAAATAGAAATGGTGGAAAATGTTGAAACAAACCTACTGGTTCGACATTATATATATTAGTATCTGTCTATAATGATAACAAGCTGTTACAGAAGAGAGCAGTTCTTTCTGTATTAAGCATGTGAAGTATGACCGGTTGAATGAAAAATTCCTTACAGACTAACCATGTGCAAGAACTCTTCCCATGAATATGGCTTAATTCCAATGCTTGTGGCCTTATCTTTCTCTTCCTCTGTTAATGAAGTGAAGCACACCATAGCTGTATCCACAACCAAACTCAGTTAAATGCTTTCTGTAATTAGATGCAGCACAGCAACGTTGAACTAGCCACATTTTACCTTTCAGTCGTTTAGCAGATTTACAATCAGGATTCAGAAGCTGAAAACAATATATGTAGCCAATGAGAACCTCTATTTGCCGCTGAATGTCTGATGTATAAGTTCATCTGGAGCAGAAAATGATTAATCTCAAGAAAGTGATTCTTACTTGCGTAACCTTCTTAGCTTGGACGAATGCAAAATCTACTTCTCCATGATCTAAGATAAAA